GAGGAAAGTTCGAAACCTTCAGTAAGTTCAAGAAAACCAATGTATGATTTAGATCCAAAAGAGTGCTTGATTTTGTAACGCAAAGTATCTCTTCTGAGGTTTCCCAAAAATGCTGTGGCTATCCCACATAGAACTTTCTTCTTGTTTTTATCACAGAAACAATAGTGCTATTTCAGCATTCATTGGAATCCTGACCACTTAAGAGGTGCTAAAAGGAAGCTATCGAAGACACAAATACCTGTACTCATAATGTAGTATCACAAAAATGAACTACAGCATTTACCTGGTAGATGGACACAGAGACAAATGATAAATAAAATAAGGCATCAGTTAAAATGTGTTTGATGTATCTAGAAGGACAGATGGAATAATTGGACTTAATTGGGTTTAGTCAGGCAAATATTCAGAGTATTTACTATTATTTCAGATAAGTGAATTAATTTATTAACAAGTTATTCCTGGGGACAGGAATGGGGAATACCAACAATACTTGAGCATCATGAGCATCAGAATGACTTGCCCCAGAATTTGAACTTTCCTTCCCTTAAGGACATTTCTGAAGAGCCACGCCCTTCTGTCAGTTTGTAACTCCTTATAAAGAAGGTGCTGTACAAAGGTGTTGTGAAATTTATAGCTTTACATTTCCTTAGTAAAAGGACTGTGAATATAAATGACTGGGTAACCAGACTTAACATGTGGAAGTAAAGCCAAAGAAAGTAGCTGAGACAAAATAAAACATGCCTGGCCCACTGGAAATGTGGCCATCCTCAATGTCATCTCTGATACACTCCCCTAGGACAGAAATCAGCTGGGGACTAGATCTGAATTTCCCACATGTATTGTACATACAAAAAGTGACCCAAGTCATTTCCTTAACACTCGGAAACACTTACGGCTCTTTTTTTTCCCCCACTTCCCGCCAAGTTATTTAGAAAGGACAGATGCAGCTGGCACCATGATGTTGTAAGCAGCCTTGCTAAGTGGCTCCAAAAGGAAAATATCTGTCCAGTGTCTTGGGTAAATCTAATGGTCTCCATTCACCAGTCTGCGTCATTGTTCTGGTTCTTCAGACCCAAGATTTAGGGTCAGAGTTGCTGCTGCAAATTATGTTTATTTTTAAAAAATTTTTATGGAAGGAGGTAATTAGTTTTACTTGTTTTTTAACAGAAGTACTGGGAGTTGAACCCAGGACCTCATTCATGCTAGGCATGCGCTCTACCACTGAGCTATATACCTCCCCACTGCAATTATGTTTAGATCACATAGAAACTATTCTAATAATCTTCCATCACTACCCAGAATATATCCAGTGCATGGCAATGGCAGTCATAAGTGGTGGGCAAGTCAAGTCACTTTTCAAAAGGAATAAAGTTATTTTAGGAATGAAGATTCTGATTTGAATCTTCCCATTACTGAAGGGAGACCAGATGCCAGATGTTCATCTAACTTTTTAGAATGTCCATGTGTACCATGTTCTTTCTCTCCAGTCACACTAAGAGAGGAAGATCTTCTTCAGCACTTCCTGGATGAAGGTTGTGGCAAAAAAACCTAAAGTCCAACCTCTGGTGGCTACAGTCATGACCACAGTGGGAGTGAATATGGTTTGAGGGACACAAGATATAATCCTGCCATGAAGAATTGCTATAGAAATAGGTGTTGTGGTGTCGTAATTATTCTTTCTTTCTTATGTGTCCCACACAAGTGTTTCATGATAAAACCAGATATGGTTACAGTCTGTGAATCAGGCACAGTTCTTACTGCTTTCAAGAACACCCTAACCACACAGGCAGTAAAGCATAGTGTTCAGGGAGTGTGCTCTGGAATCGGCCTGCCCTGGTTCCAGTCACTCTTCAGATTGATAGCATCTGAATCTTGAGCAGATTACTTTCATGGGGGATCATGATTGTACCTATCTCATCTGGGTTCTTGTGAGGATAAAATAAAGCATTTCATATAAAATGCTTAGCACTGTATTGGGTACATAAGCACATAAAGGAAATGCTTGAGCTCAGGTATGTGAGAATCCAGGACTTATGTTGTCATTATTGGTCAAATTAGAAAATGATCTGCTATGGATTGAATGTTTGTGTCCTCCCCAGATCCATATGTTGAAACCCCAATCCCAGTGCGATGGGTAATTGGTCATGGGAGTGGACCCTCATAAACAAGATTATGAGACTCCAGAGGGGTGGTTTGTCTCCAGCATGTGAGGCTATAGTAAGAAGGCAGCCTTAGTATGAGGATCCTCACCTGAACTCAGCCACAGAGACACCCTGATCTCAGACTTTCAGGCCCCAGAACTGTGGTGAGAAATAAATTTCTGTGGTGTAAGCCACCCAGTCTGTCGTCAGCCTGAATTAAGATGTGATCTAATTGAAACGGTTAATTTATCTCTAAAGTCCCCTAAAACTTTAGCATTGCATGATTTGTCTTTCCTGGCTATCTAGGAATAAGAACTTTTCCTAAGTTGCCAATTCACTAGGAATTCAGTGTCAACTCACTGGAGAAAAGTAGTGAGACTATTCTTGAAGTTTTAAAATCATTACAGCTAAACTTGAAAAAGAAAAAATCTTGTCATCAAATAAAATATAATCAACAAAAATGTAATTAACCATCCATGTTATCCTGGAGACATACAAACTCTGTATAATAGTTCATGATGTTTTGTTTGTTTTAAATAAATTTTTAGATGTTGTCTTAATTGGCAAGATATAAGAAAAAATTTAATGAAAAAAGTTGGTTTTCATCATTATTAATAACAAACACTAATTGAGACGTGTTCTATCCACAAATACATTTTAACAGTACAGTTCACTGTGCTTTATAGTTAGTTGCATACATGTTTGTTTCTCCACTAAATTTGTAAATAATTTGAAGGACAGGAAACATGGCTTTGTATATCAAGCACTTAGCATGGGACACTCAGTAAATTATTAACCACTCAGGAAATGCAGATTGAATGAATGAAGGAAGGAAGGATACATCACCAGGATTTTATGTTAGAAATATGAAACAATGGTCCTTGCAGCCTAAATTAGAAGACAAGCAGAGCATCAAAGGCAAATAGTGATACACGTAAAGTTACCTTACAGATAGATAAAATGCAGAAGAGGTGCTGCTTTATTTAAGTAGAAGAGGTGATTTCAGGTGGAGCACAAAGACTTCATGAAGAAAATGGGACTTTTTCTGGATTAGATGGATGGAAAAAATCTTTCCCAACAAAGGGAAGAATAACGTGTGAGCAATAAACATACTAGTTTTCTATTGCTGCTATAAAAAAATTACCCAAACTTAGTGGCTTAAAGCAAACACAAATGTTTTATCTTACAGTTTTGGAGATTAGAAGTCTGAAATCAGTTCCACAGGGCCAATATCAAAGTGTCTGCAGGTCTCTGCATTCTGTTCTGATGACTCTAAAGAGAATCTAGTTTTTGTCTTTTCTTTCTTTGAAAGACTGCCCTCTTTCCTTGGCTTGAGGGCCCCTTTCTGTCTTCAAAGCCAGCATTGACGACTTGAGTCTTTCTCACATGCCATCACTCTGACACTGCCTCTCCTGCTTCCCTCGTCCATATTTAATAACTCTAGTGCTTACACTGGGCCCATGCAGATAATTCAGAAGTCTCTATATTTTAACATCAGCTGACTAGCAACCTTAATTCCATCTGCTACTTTAATTTCTCTTGCCATGTAAAATAACATATTCACAAGTTCTAAGGACTAGGATGTGGACATCTTTGGAAGGCCATTATCACAGTGCATGTACCATGTATGGGCAACAATATGAGTTCCATAGGAATTTTGAGTGCTAAATGTAAGTTGGAGTGAGTTTTCAGGACTCGTCAGTAGGAACCTATTTTTGAAAACACTGAATGCCCAACAAAGGGATTTGGACTGTTTTTTTAAGTAATAAATCTCTTTGTGCCAAATCAGTATTAATATCACTTTCTATTTGTTACATGTTTGAAAATGACATGATTACAAGGTATATCTAATTCATAATACTATAACTTTTAAAAATAAGACATCACTGAACTTTTTTAATGGTTAATGAGACACTTGAAAAACACATGCTAGTAGTCGCTCAATCAATTCACTCCTCAAAGTGTAAAAGCAAAGAAGAGCAGCATTAAAAAGGTATTTATTAAAAGCCTAGTTATAGGTGGTTCTGGAATTGACCCCTTACACTCTAACCAAGACACAGAGATGTAAGGGCCACAAGGTGTGTGAACACATGGAAGTCAAAAGTAGGTATTTTTAGCTTGCACATAAATAGGCAACAGAACATGAATGTCAAAAGCAAAGATGTATAAGAGGACAGAGAATGCAAGAAGTCTCATGATCAGACTGCAGAATGGATTCAGGAAGAAGGTCATGGAGGACTGAAAGTATGAGGGCCCAAAGATCCACAGGAGAAAACAGAGTAGGATCACTGGTAACCATATCTTAGAGACAGAAAGCTATGCCATCATTTTAGATCATTTATAGAATAGAAGGAGCAAATTTTAGTTAGAATTTGAATGTGGAATGAAAAAGAAGTTTACCAGAAGGAAACTCTTAGAGAACCTTTAGATAATGAGGATCTCGTATATGCATCAATATTGTCAGTTACCCTAGTGTGCTAGGCTTGCTTTCCTTGACAATGGTGCTGTTATTCCTCTAGCAACACTACATATCAAAAAAGGGGGGCTTCAGCTGGAATCCCTGTACCATACTATACAGAGTGTGTTATTCATTGTCTACAGACTGCATGTTAAATAGCCTCCCCTTTACTTTTCATCACTGATTCTCCTGCCATCACAGAGAAAAACAGGTTCTAAAGTTACCCCAAAAATAACCATGATAAATATTTGTTTTTAATCCAGCTCTCCCTTTCCTGTTTTCCAGTTACTCCTGTAGATGACAGGAAATACAGGTGTTCATCACTGTAGCAAAGCCCTAGAAAAAAACCAGGAAAGACAATGGGGGGAAAATGCAGCACACTGTGTTTCCAATTACCTGCAGATGCTTCCATTTATTCCAAACGTTCTTAGTTAACTGTACAAATTTTTAATCACATAAATGTGGCAGCATGCGAGCCTCATGCTCTTGATTACCCTTGCCTTCCAGTTGATTTCACATGCCTCTTGCTTTTGGCCTCACTTTCACACGAATAATACTATGTCTGGAGCTGCATGAATTCCAGGTGATACCTGATAAAGAGTGCAACTTGTTGCAGAGTTTATTTATCTTCTGTGTCTTGTTTTGTGTTTCACTGAGGCTGTGACATTGCAGTATGTTCTTCTGAGTCAGCAGCACCATGGGCCACTTGCTGGTTATAGTACCACAAATGCCTACTTTCTTTTTTTCGCCATCTTTGCTTTGTAGAATCATCTGGTCACCATTCATTCATGCCTAGAATATTACAGTGGGAAAGATTACCAGACTGCATCCGAAGACCACTTTACATAGACCTTTAATAAATCAAATAAAGGAGTGGGTCTTGGTGAGAGTATCCCAGATGATGGAGATCAAAGACTCAGAGCCTTGCCTGTATTCCAGTCATTCTGAAAATAGTAGTAGGAGTGCAACAAAGTGCTGGAAAGAGGGAGCGATGGCAAAATTGGCCAAAGTAGATTTTGTTTTGACATTGGTGAGAAAAGACTTTCAAAAATAGCCATGTGGTTTTGAATTTGACTCCCTTGTATGTACACTATTCATCACAGTGATTTATACAGGATAGTTAACCTTCTCTTTCAAGTTAATTCATAAAGGAAAAGAAATGAATGAAACAAAATTTAAAAGCCACTCAATGGTTCAGTGTCACGAATGTCCCTGGACTCAGCCCTTGCTCTAATATTGCAGTTCTGGTTGCTTATTTCCAGTTGAGACTATTTAACTTGAGCTACTACTGATTATTTTCAAAAGTTCTAATACGTGTTCCTGTAAAGACTGGGACTTTTGCTGCTTTTTCTTTCATAAGTAACTAACATGGAAGAGGCAGAAAACACCTG